TTACTATTCGGTTCAAGATAATTTAGTCCAATTCGGGAATTTAACAATTAGCCTTGGTAACATGTTTTTCTCGATGACTATTACACTAATTAAAAGTTTTTTTTTGCACGGAATACGAATTTTTGATTTTGATGGCTACTACACTAATTTTCCAAAAAAAAATTGAAAAACCAAGATTAATACAATTGAGATGATCCTTGGCATTTCCCGCACAAATAAACTCACATGGTTCATGAACTTCTCCCTATCGCTGATGACTTCTTCTCGCCTTTATAAATCAGCACATGTGTCACCGGCGACATTGACAAACTCGACGGACCAACAAATTGAATGCTCACCAAGAAAGCCTAGAATGAAGCTCACAAAGATAGCCGGAGTTTCAAACCCGACATCATCCAATCCAAGCATCTTCAAGAATGGAAGACTAACCGCCAAGTGTGATGCCTTCAACGCTACTCGCTAGCTTGAGGGTTACCAAAGTGTTGCTCGCAAAAACATCGTTTGGAATTTGGTAGTTCTCGTTGTAGAGGTTGAGAACCATGACTCTCACTCCATTCGCTAGTGCATAGAGCACCCAACAAAATAAAAGCGGAACTCTGAAAAAGTGATACTTGTAACACTGATTTTCTTTTTTCTCTAAAATTAAATTTGCTGCATAACACATAATACATTGTCATGTTTAAATGCTATCTTCAATATACTAAAAGAGAAGCATTTTGGAGAATTTTTGCTGAGGCATTACCACCATAATTTTTCTCAGATTTTTCATTTTAATTTAATCAAATAATTAACCTATATTATTTCAATTCCCAAACAAAGTTTATCCAACAAACTAGATAACTTGATTAATTTAAATCTAATTGCCAAACAAACTACAAATACTATTAAATTTTTTGAATTTTTTTCTTCTTTTTTCTTTTGTTGAGGTCAAATATTCGTTACTCATACCATTAAAATTGGTAATTTCGTTTTTTAAAATTTCATTATTTCTCAATATATAAAATATTACATTTAACTAAAAGATGTAATTTGACATTGGAATTTTTGAATTTATAACCTCCAATATTATTGGACATAATACTTTATTAAATTTATTTATTACTAAAACGGCTAACTACTTTAAATTACTTTTAAAACTCATGATCTAAATGAACGTTTTATTACAATTCTCTCCACGAACGCAACAAAACGCTGATCATCGTCCTCGTCTCCGTGCTCGAACTCGAGGTTTTATAACTCCACAAGACGAATGTTCCACGCTCCTCTCAGATGTCGAAAGCAAAAGCTAAAGGCCTCTTTGGTCACTAAACTGATTCAACACCATAATCACTAGAAAAAAAAAATCCTCTTTTGGACAAAAAAGGGTCGTAACTTCACCGACCAAAACTACACACATAACACCAAAAAAAACGCTTTCCTTTGATAAAGAACTCTTTTCTTTGATTAAAATTGGCTCTCTAGTCAAAGATGCTTGTAATTTGGTTTTATAAAGAC